CAGGCAGTGCTATCTCTCCAGAAACTTGCAGGTAATATCCGGTAATCAAAAAGAGCAATTGGCAATCCCCATGTAGAGATGATTTTCCCATTTAATGGCAACACCGGAATAATAACCCCCCCCCACCCGTCACAAGGTCAGATGGACCTTGTAAGGCCTTTCCTAGTGTCCCCCCTCAATAAACGCCCCCTTGGAAGGGGTTGATTAATAAGGGGAAGCCTCTGGTTACTATTGATGGGGGACACGGGTTCATGGAGGATACCCTTTGGGAGCTATCCAATCTGATGCTTTTTATAAAGAAATTAATTAGAAATCATTTGGGGACTAGTTTTGTTGTTCAAAATTTCAATGATCAGCACTGATGGGTTCTGGTGTTCATGAGGTTTCAACTTAAGGATAGAATAAGGAAACCGTTTGAAAATAAAGAGAGTTGGAAAATAAAACACAATGGGATTTCAGAACTGGAGATTGATTAATCAGGTCCAGGCCAAAGAGTTTTTTAATCCAGGGGGACCACCTGTTTTTGAATTACTTTTTTTGGGGGGGCAGTGGAGGTTGATTAATCGGGCGGGGTTGATTAATCCTGACTTGCCATTAGAAACCTTCATGTGCAGAGGAGTTTCCATTGCCAGGTCTGATTACGGGATGTTATCCCTGGCTGTTCATGTTGATTCCTCATCTCGTTGGTGGTTCCCCCCCCCGGACAAAATCTTCGTGAAAATAGGGCGTGTCATCGCACATATGGAGGTTTCCTAAAACGGGGATATCCTCGGATACCGGATACCCCCAAATCATTCGTTTAATAAGATGTATGCATTATAAACATTTATAAACGATCCCATAAATAAGGACACCACCATATGGTTGAGAAATGTTGAGAATTCCACATCTTAAACAAAAAAACGCCAAGCAGCATAGTATGACACGTGGTGCCCGATAGCTCTAAAGCCGCTACTTGGAGGTGCAGGGTTGTTCATGGGCTATAATCATGGGATTTAAACCCCCATAAGTTGGGATATGGGGCCCTTCTAAGTATGATCATATAGCCACTTATGAGTGAAACTGAAACTGCCAAGTATAGTGGCACCTCCATCCACCCCATCTCCTCCCAGTACCATCTCTGGTGACGAGTACTCCAGCCCGGTACCCAGTTACCTCGGGTGAACGTCACAAAACACCAACGATATGAGTTTCTCCAAACGCGGTAGATATTTTCTCCAAGTCACAGCCAATTAAAATGGACATGTACCCTCTGGTAAACATACAAAAAGCTATTGAAAATGGCCATAGAAATAGTGAGTTTTCCCATTAATAGCATGGGGGATCTTTCCATAGTTATGTAAACGTTTACCAGAGGGTAACCAGTAATCAAATGATCAACCATTGGAATTTTGGTCTCCAATCGGGGAAACAAATATTCGCCTCAGAAGTCTGGCAAGGTTTTTTTCAGGGTTTGACACATTCTCCAAGGTTTTTTGCCCATCCTGGAGCCGACTTCTACACATTATATACAAAACACATAAGGGACTTAAGAGAAGAAATCAGCGGAGTTGATGGAACATGGAAAATCTATGAAAACTATTCTGGTTGGTGGTTTGAACCATCTTGAAAAATATGAAAGTCAATGGGAAGGATGACATCCCATATATATAATTATATAAATAATTATATATATATATATAATTAAATATATATAATTATATATATATATGAAATGAAAAATAACACATATTTGAAACCACCAACCAGTATTGGAAGATCTCAGTACTTGGAAGTGCAGTTCCAGTGAACTATATATAAGTGAATCATATAACCAATAGTTGTAGATAGTTATAGAGATTCTATCCCAACTGAGGGTTACAGCTATGGCTGTCTACCCATTTGTGACCTTGAAGCCACCAGAGCCGAGGGACTCGCCATGGTCAGCAAGGCATTCGGTCAGCGACAAAAGTCAAAGTGCTGGTCATCTGATCATCTTTAGACCACTGAATACCTGGATGAAAAGAATCAACCGCTTTTGCATAGCTGTTTTGAAATTTATAGATATAGACATTCCATGACATTCCACTGTATATAGCGGAGGAATAGATTCGAATAAACACTGCATCATATTTCCAGGTAACTTTTATGGAAACATTCGCATCAGCCACGTGGCAGCCATTCAAACTGGTTTCGACCAAGGCCCGCGAAAAATGATCAACTGTAATCATCAACTTGGAATTAGATCACAATCAATTTGAAAATGATCAACTATAATCATCAGGTAGGACTTTTGATGTGCAGAACGCCGCATTGATACTTATGGTCTATTGTGGTCTGCATATTCCATTTCATAAAAATGAAATTGCCAACCAACCAAGAACATCCAATAACTAGGAGCAATTAAAATCAAATTAATCCCATCCCAATATTAAACACCATCAAGAAACTTCAAGAAACGATGGTTGGAACAGTTTTTTCGGGCATCTACTTGAACATTTTTGTGGGACACCAACAAGGGACCATTGACCTTTTTCTTCTTCTTTTTCCCCTTCTTCTTCTTCTTCCTCTTCTTCCCCTTCTTCTTCTTCTTCTTTTTCTTCTTCTTCTTCTTCTCTTTCTTGTTCTTCCCTCATGTCCTGTACCCCTTTGGAAGTGGATGATATTGGACCCCAAGCAAGCATCCGACAGAATGGTTCCAACTTCATCGAAGTGAACATTTGGTCTACAAGAGATTGACATTTACTACCTTAAAATAATGGCGAAGAAATGTGGCACTGCTACCGTTGTGATTTAAATTGGTTTTGCTGATAGGAGCATCTGGAAACTACTATAGTACAGCTTATAGCAAGTAACCAGTTGTTATAGGAACTATTCTAGTAACTTAAGTAGTAATTATCTGTAACTCCGTAACTCCCTAGACACATCTGTTTCATGTCTAGAAAGTCACAAAAACCAGAGGATCGTCGCTGGGAAACTCCAGGAAATCACGGCTCTTCCTGGAACCAGCTCTGCGATTCAACTGGGTGCCATGTCATGTTGGTAAAGCACGAATTAAAACCAACAACTAACAATGATGTTTGATGGTTTATACCACCCATTGGTAAATTTGGGGATGCTTTATGATTGCTAAAAAGTTCATGTCTCTTCGAAGACCTGAGGACACGCAAATGTGGGCAGCCGATGGCAGCCGCGCAGCCGCAGTCCATTTTCGATCCATCTTTGAGATCAGTTAACGGGTCTGGCTTCGGTGGTTTCACTGGCTGAATCCTACTGGCGCTGATCTCTTCATAAATCGATTTTAGATATACCCCCGAGGGTCACCCCGCGAAGGATTGACAGATTATCAGAAGCTGGAATAGTTGGTGATGTGACAAGAAAAAGGCATCATTGAGATTCATGGAGGGATTATGAGCCATGAATCCGGATTAGGTTCTTATTAAATCATATGCAATCCCTTCTGTTTGGGGTCTGTATCATTGGACACAGTTCGATTTCCATTCATACAGGACCCCATCATTTCAAAAGGACAAACACATTTTGTTTTTTTCCGGGATGCTATGGGAGATGACTCTTACTCCACATCTTCCAAGATTTCCAGGTGCGGAAACACCTGGACGTGACGAACACAACTTGGGTGGGACATGGCCGCATAGCTTCAAGAAAGAATTGTGTGATACGTTTCGTCTCTAAACATCTATAAACTGTCTAATCTCATCAACTTGAGGCCCAGTCATTAAGCCGGGCCATGCCCGGACTGAACGGATCATGAAACCTTCCAACAATTTACAATGTGGTAATTTGATGTAATTTGCACCATCCCCAAGTCATCACCATGGCTGTATGGGTCACTTTTTCTTAACCATCCCCAGTCATGATAGGTTTATGGCCCTATGGCAGGCTTGCCCACATCATTCCTTTTTTCCATCTGGTAAACTAACAGTTAGCTATGGAAAATCACCATTTGACTAGGTAAATCCATGGTAAATCCACTGCCACCCAACCACCGCGCCGGACCATGGGACCATGGGACCATGGGACCATGGGACCATGGGTCCCGGACACCGAACAGAGGTTTCTGGATTACGACCCTGCGGCTTCCTATGATCAGAGTTCAGTCAATTCTTGACACATCTGACTTTGACAAAAAATCTGAAACATCTTTCATCTTACTGTTAAACATCACAAGCCCGGATCATGATGAATCATGATGAATCCGATCCCCTGCTTACATTGAACGCCTCAAGGAGTATGGTCCTAAATATGTATAGATTCCCTACTAAACCTTTAAACCAGAGCTTGTGGTGGTGTTTCATATTAGGATGGGAGTAGGCCAAGCCGCTCAGTGGTGGCAAATTATATCGGGGGGACACCCTGTGGCAAATTCTCGCTCTTAGGCCCCCCCCCTAATAAGTCAACCAAGAGATTTACATGGTTATTGTTCTGAAGTGTTCTGAATACTGATCTAAATCGTCAGGCCAAATGAATGAAATTCCGACAATATGAACGATCTTTTCTATGGGCTTTAGCCAGTTTCCCTCCCAAGAAAAAGAGTTAGGAAAAATCAGTTTCCTGACCATCCTCACAGTTACAGCCCTTAACAGGTGTAACTGGTTTGTAACATTTTCATAATTTGATTTAAATATATTTAAATTTAAATGATATATATACATAACCTTAGTTGCAGGAATCCCATTTATAACTGTTCAGGGCTATGACTATAACTGTACCAACCTGCCATGAAGCGATTTCAGTGGAATTTGGCTCGCAAACACAGGAACCTCCGTCTCCACGCCATTAGCGGGGAGATTTCATGTTCAGGTCCAAGTGTCATTTTTTCAGACTCTGGGCAAAGTCAGACATAAGTATTTGTGCAATCGAAAAATATGTGTTCATTATGTACCCTTTGTTTGTGACAAGGGTATGTCCATTTGAAAAAATAAGATGAATTAAAAACATCATGTCTGGAGTGCTGGTCAGTCCTTAGACTTTGCCCGGAAAACTTCCCCCCCCACCCGGCATCAGTGCGCTAATGAAGGCGCATCGGAAGAGAGACCGGAACGGAAGGCAGGTTCCTGCAAAACATTGTCCAGAAAACTAGGTTCAATGTATCCAGAAAAATGTGGGTAAAACATGGTAAAATCATGTAAAGTACGTGATGTAATGGATGTTTTTAGGTACTGCACGCTGGTGTTGGGATACCACATTCGAAGCGGGCCTTTCACAATAATGGTTGTCTCCTTTGGTTTCAGGTCACAAAACACCCCGGTCTCCGTCACTGAATACAACCTCGAATTAAAAACACCAGTTTCTTCTTCTTTTTCTTCTCAAATGGGACGACCGCAGTGTCCACTGTAAAACGGTCACAAATCATGGCCAATTTTGCCAAAAAATACCAGTAGTACCGCACAAGGCGGTGGCGGAAGTTTCAAAAATAGGAAACCTATAGGAGAGGTTGGTTGTTGTGAATCAGGGATGGCAGAGCGAAGCCACTGATGGACCGACAGGTGGTTGAAGTCTTCTCTCTTTCTATTTTGTTTTTTTTCTTTCTGTCTTTCTTTCTTTCTTTATTTCTTTCTTTCTTTCTTTCTTTCTGTTTTTCTTTCTTTCTTTCTGTTTTTCTTTCTTTCTTTCTTTCTGTTTTTTTCTTTCTTTCATTCATTCATTCATTCTTTCTTTCTTTTCTCTGACTATCTACGTACCTACCTACTCTCTCTCTCTCTCTCTGTCTCTCTGTCTCTCTGTCTCTCTGTCTCTCTGTCTCTCTGTCTCTCTGTCTCTCTGTCTGCCTGCCTGCCTGCCTGCCTGCCTGGCTGGCTGGCTGGCTGTCTGGCTGGCTGGCTGGCTGTCTGTCTGTCTGTCTCCTTATCTATCTATCTACCTATCTATCTATCTCATCTCTCCATCTATCTCTCCATCTATCTCTCCATCTATCCATCCATCCATCCATCCATCCATCTACCTATATCTATTTATCTATCTATCTAGCTGTCTCTCTATCTATCTATCTATCTATCAATCTATCTAGCTATCAATCTATCTCATCTCCCCATCTATTTATCTATCTGTCTATCTATCTATCTATCTTTCTATTTAATTATCTATCTATCTATCTATCGATCGATCTATCTATCTATCTACCTGTCTATCTGGGGTCTAAAATCGTTTTCCCTTAAAAAACCCAAGGCTTCCCAATTTGTGAACGGAGACCATTCTAGAACCCCAGCATGTACGGAGGGTATGGTTCTAAAATCGTTTTCCTGTAGCTATAAAATTAGTAATATTTTATCATGTTTTTTGGGTTGACGTTTTTGTAAAAAGAATCCAAATTTCGCACGTCAAATGGACACTGATCTTTTCTCTCCCCACATATTGTGCAGTTCGGGTCATCACACTGCTTTCGGTTTTTCTGCTAGACCTTCTCCTTGTTATGATTTAAAGCAAAATTTTGTGCAACCTTGAAAGCGAAACTATTCTGCGAGGTGTCCTCAGGTTTTGAACTTGACAACATCAAAAATGGAGCAGTTCTATGAAACTTCCTCAATGTTTGAACTTGACAACGTCAAAAACGAAGCAATTCTGCGAGATGTCTTCATTTTTCAAAGTTGACAACACCAAAAACGAAGCAAATCTGCGAGACTTCCTCAATTTTTGAACTTAACAACGTCAAAAACAAAACAATTCTGCGAGACATCTTCATTTTTTGAACTGGACAACATCCAAAACGAAGCAATTCTGCGAGACTTCTTCAATTTTTGAACTGGACAACATCAAAAACAAAGTAATTCTGCGAGACTTCCTTCAAAAATGGGCTGACGGCCTCGTACCATTGCGTTTTGCGATTTTTCCACTCCACCTGTCTAAAGTACTGCCCATGCCACGAAAAATTGATGCCAGCTCATACGAAGTGTTGCACCTGTCACGCAAAATCATCTTAGCAAACCTACAGATCTGATGCTCCAAAATGCAACCCCTCTCAGGAAATCAGCGCCCTGACCTCCTAACATCTCTGATGAACATGTCTCTTGTACTGTGCCTGCCATGCGAAATGCATCTTTGCAGATCCTCTTCAAATCTCCCACGCCTGCCATCGTTTTTGGAAATTGCACAATACCCTCACGTTTTGCTCACTTTTGAGAAGGTGCACAATCCCTTGCGCCTGCCACGCGAAACGACATCTGAACGTCCAAAAGTGGTCCGAACCCCGGGCGTTTTTTTTCACATTTTGACTTCTAAACGTGCTTCGCGCCACAACCGCGTGCGCCACAACCGCGTGCACTTTTTCGACATCTCAACTTCCAAAAGTGGTCCGGACCTGGTGTGTTTTGCGCATTTTGACTTCGAAATGTGCTTCGCGCCACAACGGCGTGCACTTTTTCGACATCTCAACTTCCAAAAGTGGTCCGAGAATGGTGTGCTTTGTACATTTTGATTTCGAAATGTGCTGCACGCCACAACGGTATGCAATTTTTCATCTCTCATCTGGACAGATGGCTCCGCACCCGCCGCTTTAGCGAGCCTACTTTTCGACCCTCCGGAGCCACAAATCATTGGAAAAACACAGTGTTTCGCGACTTCCTACCTTTTCGCACATCTGCATCTTCTTTCTTCTGACTCTTTCTCTTCTCTGATCTTCTCTCTTCTACTCTTCTCTTCTCTCTGACCCTTTCCATCTCTGCTTTTTCATCTGTCCATATTGTCGGAAGTTTGACTTCAAGACTTCCTTCGATTAGCTGCTTAGTAGATAATCCCATTGATTCCAAAAGACTAAAGGATTAAACTACCCATCTAAGATTGACCTAGAACTGTGCTTCAAGAGGATCTGCTGGCACGTCATCCACACCAGTCTGACATTGACTGCTCAAGGAGGCTCGGGAGTCTTGTCAGCTGGGTGAATTTTATGGTTTATGGATGTTTATGGAAGATATATCTATATCGATATTGTACACTGTATATCTCCTACACAAGCAGAATGACTGACAATGACATGATGGCTCATAATTACGCCAGACAGACTGTTTTAGAATGTTTTAGATTTACAGTATTGAAACTCCCAAATCTAGGTGTGGATTCTATTGTCGATCCCTATTTCCTTCCTGCTTCCTCTTTTATCGAATCACATTAATTTACCAGCTATTTGATGTGAGAGCACGGATATTTTGACTCATACACACATCTAGTCTGTTTTGTCCTCATTTTTTTCAAACTTAGGCGTGCTCTTGCTTACGGATGCTTGTGGTAGATATATCTATAATTTTATGGTACAGTATATCAGTATATCATTTATGTCATAAAAACTTGGGGTTGTGTAAAACTTATGTCATCCAACAAACACGGGGGCGCATTCATCCACATCCCGTAAGCGAACACATTTTTCTGACTATATATACATGTTGAGAGTCCTCAAGGGGAAACACTGTGTCTGCCACAATGAAAAGGGGGTGGTTCTTCATCAGACGTCAACATGAACAGCTGCTGCTACAGCGCAATGGATCAAACTTGGGTGTCGCCATGAAATTGGATGGTTCATACCCCAAATACAAACAGACTCAAATCTATTTTGTCTATGGTTCCCGGGGTAAATTTAAACCCCATACCCAATGTGTTGTTTCTTTAGAAAGGCCGATGTTTACTGGTTCCAGCGTTGACCAAATCGCACCTTGGTGATCTTCTCCCAACTTGCAGGTGACCTGGTTTTGTAAGTCCCAAATCCGGGAAAAGTTTTGTAAGTTCCGTTGGCTGGTTAAATGGTTCCTGAGTGGATCCTAAATGGTTTATAGTTAACCAGAAGCATAGTGTACAAACTATAGTATATATAATAGTATATATATATATATATAGACTGGTTGGTGGTATACCTACCCCTCTGAAAAATGATGGAGTTCGTCAGCTGGGATGACATGACATTCCCATCATTCCCGATATATGGAAAAATAAAACATGTTCCAAACCACCAACCAGGGCTGGTATATAAATATGATTTGGGGACTTAACTTACTTAACCATGACTTACTCTCTGCCAATTGAACGTAGCTATGAACAATCACCATTTTTCATGGGCAAACAATGTATAAATCACCTATTGGGGTTATAACTGGTCAAACCATGTGGTAATATATCTACTTATGAATGGAACTGCGCTTCCAAGTAACCATCAAAAACAGGGTTTTTGTAGTTTTTTGAACAACAATTGACAACATATCTGTTGGAGATGAAATACCCCAATAGTTGGGTGATGTTCAGTTAGGACGGTTACTGCCTGAAACACAAGGAGGTAGCAATCAAAAGCAAACAAGTTCTGTGAACTGGGTGATCTTCTGAAAGATCGGACAGATCGTGGCCTGGAAACTGACCGCCAGACATCCCGATGTCCGAGTCGAAGCCGGTGCAAACAATGGAAGTGAAATCACCAGGCAAAGGAGTTTTTCCACAAGTCCCTGACCAGAAGTGTATCTGGCTGAATCACCGTATAGGCAACAAGGGATGTACCCTTTTCCTGGGCGTCCATTTCTCCCAACTGAAACGTTTGTGCTTGCATGCTGCCAGTACTATGCTGGCACCTTCGGATATCTCAAGGCCAAAATTCATCAAAATTCCCCACCCCAACAGTGAGCCGCTGAGCCGCTGAGCCAAGTAAATCAACTGGGCGATCATTCATCAGATACATCGGCCAGCTAGATTCTAGATCCGATCTGGGGCACGACCAAGCGTGAATCCCGGATTCACAGCTCAGGAACTTCGGATCAGCCCTTGATTCTTGTTTTGCCTGCAGACATCTTAACAAAATAGGTTGGTGATGGCGGTATTCATAAAACATCATAAAACTATGACCTAAATTAAATGTAGATGGTTATATCATGTTATATCACTGACACAAATCTGGGTTCAAGCCATTCAGCAATTTCAAGGCCAACAAAACAATACCATCAAGATACCATCAAGATACATGTGTTATACTTTCACAGCAACTATACCCTCTACAAGGTGGCCGCCAAGTTATGTTTGCTGAGCTATATATTATATATTATATATACCGTACCATTGTATCCAATCTAGCTATGGATGAGTATGGACCACCAGCATACACATATATTGTAATCTGCTGATCTTCAGAACTCTATCACCATAAATCAACCAGTAATCCTCATTTTGATTGGTTAAGCACCCACCGTTTAGTGGTAACATCTGCCGCTTTAGTGCATAAATCTCCATGTACATTCCAATATCAATGTAGGGGGGCCGCACATTGCAGAGTTTGAACTTCCATCAACAATCATCTCACTCTAATACTATAGATATCTGATGATATATGTGCCATCAGTCCATATAAATCCTCACTATTGCCATTAAACAAGAAATCGAACAAACAGCAAAAACCGATCAGAACAGGGGCCCACATTGCAGCACCTTAGCTCCCTCCTAACGCTCCTGAGCCACAGATGATCCTCTAACTATTCAAATGACGCCAAGACATAGTGAAAAATATCGAACCTGTTCTGTATCCGATATCGACATCTCAAATAAATCCCAAACAAATCCCTAGCCAAAATCACTAACTTCCAAATTTACACCCAAAGAAATCCCAAAATACAGTAATAGAACTATTATATAATTTGATTTGCGTTATAACCATGTATGATTGGTAAATGGCCACAAATTTACAGTATCTTGGCGAAACAGCCTTTTCGTTCACCTGGACTTCAAGGACCATCCGCCAAGGCACACCACCAGCGCATCGGACAGATCTTTCTCTGCAATCTTCGCGAACAACTCTTGTACCTATCTGTGGCTGGCCCCAGGCGCCATGTTGGGCCAACAAGATTCGTGGGGAGCCACACATGCGAAAATTGTGGCGCACTGAAAACTGGAAAATTGCGATCATGACAGCTTGGTTGATGATAGTTTTTGGTTGGAACTTATGTCAGGTTGCGTTGGCGGCCAGAATTTATGGCAGATATTTCGAGAGACAAGGGAATATATTCCAACTCAGATCACCGAGGATCCATCAACAAAGCATCAAATCAATGAACTATACATACAGTCGTGGCCATTTACCAATTATATAAATGGTGAAATAGCTGTTTTTTTTTCTATGGGATTATACATTCCATAAATGTGGTCACTGAGTACTTATAACTGGCCATTACTGTAAGAATATACATAGGGTAAGGTTGTAAATCCAATAACACACGCGAACTCTTCAAATTTCTTTGTCCAAATAAAGAGTGTTGCTGCAATTGGCTTATCAAATGTTATCAATGCACACCAATGCAATGTATCAATGGCCATTTCAGGTACCTAAACTGGAGGTTCCTACCATATATAAGGTAAGGCCTATGTAAGGGCTAAATTTAAGGGAATAACCCCTTCCCCTATTACTAAACTACCCAAAATACTAAAACCAGGGTCTGTTTTCAATTTTGGCACATTTGAAGTTGGCCAATTTGATTTTCAATTGATCCCCTTTGGAAAACAATTTAAACATTACGGTCCCGTTTCAGGGTTTCAACACCGGGGTGTTTTTTTTATTATGGTTCATCCATTGAAATCGACGGCGACTGTCGCGGCCCTTCTCGCCTCCTGCTTGGGTAAGCCACGCAGGCGTTCACAGAGCACCATCTGGCGGTGACTGGTGGTGAATGGGTGACTGGTGGTGAATGGGTTCTGCTTGTGGCAGTTCTACAGGTACAGCCATAGCCCTAGCCAGCTATGGCCATGGGATTATGCCTCCTGCAACTGGTTGGTTATAATATATATATATATACTGTACATATATATATACTGTACATATATATATATAATATTATATATATATAATTCAAATGAGTTGTATGATATATCATTTAAATGGTGTCAGTTAGCCAGCTAAAACTGTTAAGAGCCAGCACCTGCACTTAAAAAGTGAGTGGGGTGAAACTGTGCAGCCCAATGCCAGCACTGAAAGAAAACAGGTGGTGTTCGACGTGCCTTTATTTGCAAGTTCTGAAAACCCAAAAAGCATAAACACCAAAAACTTGTAAAACCTGCAAGTTCGGCGTTAACACATAAACCTCATAAAGCACTTTTTTACACCAAAAAGGTTTTGAAAACACCAAACCTTGGGGATCCGTACCCACCGCCCCGACCTCAAAGTCGGACCATTTCAGGGAGCTGTTTTGGTGAGCCGTGGCGTCCTGGAAGGCCTCCACATCAGATGGGCCGGCCCAATCTGTGTATATTTCAAGTATGGTCATAATGGTAGATATATGGTATAGATATATCATATATCCATTACCCTTCAGTAAATTAACAGTTCGACCCTGAAAATCACAAATTTATAGTGGAAACTAATCTTCCAACCCCTATCTGGCAAGGTCTATGTTAATTTACTGGAGGGTAACTATGGTTTATAGTACTCATGTCTAATGTATCTAATGGACTAATGAACATATCTAGTGCACATACAATTTAATTTAAAACTATAAATTATGGTGTATGGTAGATGAGTTATGGTCCATGGTCATTCTTGAATTATAAAGAAATCCCTTGCATAATATGTATATATATATATATACAATGTGCCCCCCCCCAGTAACTATAGTTATAAGTACCATAAACCATAGTTATTGGAGTTATAAACCAACTTAGCTATCTTGGGGGCCTCACATTGTATATATCATATCTATACGTTATACATGTATATGTACATATTGCTTTGATGACATGTATGCATAGCAAGCCACAGAAAACTGTTGAAAAGTCGGACACCCGGGAAGCCTGTTCGATATTCATGATACCATCCTGGATATTTTTGATTTGGGGGTTTACTATATCCCATAGGATCCATGTATCGTATATATGCTAACATTGGGGGTATATTGATGGTAAATGTTACCATATATAGCATACATGGATCCTATGGGTATTATTAGTCATCCTGAAGTACATGGAATAAGCACATTTCAAAAAATCCTCACGACTATATGGGAATCTATTTGAACAATTTACATTCTATCTACTTCAGGATGATGAAGATGATGAATATTATGATGATGATGATGATGATGATACTGATGATGAGGATGAAGGTAATGATGACGATGATAATGATCTATCATGAACATATATATATATATTGTATTGTATTGTATTATATAATATAATATAATATTATATTATATTATACTATATATTATACTATATTATATTATCCCACAAAGTTAAGATAGAATGTGGTAAAATCCTACTAAAATGAGTGAACACATTCTTTTCAAAGTCTTGTAACTCGGGGGGTGCTATATGAATGTTTGGGGTATCCTGTAATCCAGGTGACATTTTAAACGCCACTGAAAAACCAACACAGAACAACAAAACCATTTCACGTGATCTGGTTGGTGGTTGAACCCTACCCCTCTAAAAAATGATGGAGTTCGTCAGTTGGGATTATGAAGATCTCCCAATATTAATGGAAACATAAAACATGTTCCAGTCACCACCAAACAGTGATCGTTCAAAACTCTCTGTAATTCCATAAATATTTTTCGTGGTTGGTTGACGAATTCCAAGCTCATGGATGATCATCCCCAGTTATTGGGTAAAACTACCGAACTAGTCATCAATCAACTATCATTTGTCAAACTTTATCCTCATATGTTTGATGGTTAAAACACCTATTTATAAATACTTGTGAAATCCCCAGGTGTCAGGTTCCACATGAATTTTCCCGCTGCGCTGCGCTCCGCAGATCTCAGTCAGATCAAAACGTCCTACACGACGATCCCACTCAGGTGCAGCGAGCGGCGAGCGCTTCGCAATCGTTGCTGCGAGGCAATCGGGACGATGCCATCAAGTACGCAATCCCCAAGTGATGTGTTTGTTGCTTTATACTTTATAGACCCATGAATACTTTTGTTATGTATATATATATAATTATAATTATATATATGTCATATGTCCCCCAAAATGAACAACAGGTAGCCAAGTTGACCATGTTATGTGGGTCAACTTAGCGACTTCGCCAGCGGGGGACTCATCAAGCGTATCTTGACATCGCTGGGCAAAAACATTGATCTGCATCCCTAATGCCAAAAACAGGTTCCTTTCAAAAGCAATGGCTTTGCGGAGCCGAAAAAAAGTTTGGCCCTCACCCACAATATCTACAATGTGGCCCCCCAGTGATGTTATATAGTTGGTTTATAAGCCCCAGTAACTACAAGTACCATAAACCAGAGTTATTGGAGTTATAAACCAACTTAGCTATCTTGGGGGCCTCACATTGTAGTTATATGATATTAACAATATATGCGTTTCAATTCCTGGGTCGCCACAAAAAACAAAAAACAAACGGATTCAAACCTAAAGACATCTGCAGCGCGATTGCAAAGTTGACGGAAATTGCAGATCCTGTGACTGCACTATAAGACCGAATGTCACTGATCTTCAAATGTGACAAACTTAAAAGGCTTTTCAGGAGCAAGGTAGCTGTGCAAGCCCAGATCTCATGACACCAGGACGCAAAGCCGCCAGATTTCCTGGACAAACATGGTAGGAATCACTCTCCACTGGTGAGTGGAGCCACCTACAAGTATCAGCCTGGTTCATGTCGCCACACCAAAGTGCCCCAAGTACAAATAGTGCCATTTTTTTTTTCTAATATGTATCAACACAAAACAAAAATGGCATTTGCGATATATTTAAACTCAAACTGCATTTTTTATGTACCAACAGAAAATACTGTATATGTACCAACCAAGAAACTTTCAATTTTTTCCACATATTTCTTGTACATGTGCGATCAAAAAAAATCGACGGGATTCAACTGCCACAATTTGGTTACCCAGTGGCTCAGGTTCAGCTCAAAAAACCTTGGGAATATGGGGGAATATGAAAGTCTATGAGAATCTATGAAAGTCTATGAAAATCTATGAACATCTATGAAAATCTCGGATTTCCACCAAAATTATCACTAGTGAATTCATGTTCAGAAAGGAATATCTTGGGGCCCGTTATTTCCGTCGGTGTCACTGCGACCTGGTTCCGGAAACACGAGCGCGCCAGGACGGAGACGATGAATGACTTGGCCCCGTTCATCATAGGTCAATCTTAGATTCCCAGCATTGATTACTGTGCCGGCCGGTCAAGTTATGTTAGGGATGAGGGGTGGGCTTGCCATCCCGCAAGAGGCCTTATGATGGGCATTGAAATGCCTGTTAATGGCATTTAAATATACTGGTTGGTGGTGACTTAACCATGTTGAAAAATGATGGAGTTCGTCAATGGGAAGGATGACATCCCATATATGAAATGGAAAATAAAATGAGGGAATGAGGGAATGATCTATAATCACTAGTAATAATCATCCCAGCAACCCCTAGCAACCCATCCATTCCCTGCTAAGCACCAGTAAGTAAATTTGGATGGTGATCTAAGATTGGGTATCTGGTAAACATTGATTAACGCATGGTAAACATTGATTAACCAATTGTCTTAATTCTGATTGTAACCTATGGTCTGATAAACCATAGTGATGAATTATAGTTGATACATGGTTAATAAGCTGATCCATAAGCTGTACATCTCTGGTTTCTTGATCCCATCGTAATCATTGATTAACCAATGGTGATTTTCCGTTATGTTAGTTTACCAGAGGTTATCTCCAGTTGAACTAGGATAATTTTAGATTGGTAAAAAAAAACTAATCCGAAATAGTCTTATGGTATCAATGGGATTATCTATTAACCACCTAAGACTTTTTTATGCACATGAATGGATTGGTTTAAGGGAAAAATACAGGAAAGCCCTATATGTCATGGGAAAATCCAGAAAATCCATGGTTTCCGGTTAAGATGTTCCCTTAAACCAATCCATTAAGCACAAAACAACCCAAGTTAATATGGAGGTCTGAAAGTTGTAAGTTAAAGTCAACTTCAAGTTATCATCACTGTTTTTTGCAACTCGTGGGATTGTGGGATTTTGTTCCAAACAGCATCTAAGATCATCTAAGTGGAGGGAAAAAACAACACATAGACTCTACATCTGCATTTTTGGATTTTTCAACATCATGGCTTGTTTTTTTTAACCATTTCGCTGAACGCCCCCAAGCACGAATGGTTAAACTAAGCCACCTTCGGGTTGGAGAATCCCCATGATCTACCATGATTTCACAGCTGTTGGATGCTTGGGGCCCTGGGGGGCTGCCACAAAACCGACCCCAAAATGGTCCAGAAAAATGCTGGATCATGCTAGATCCACAGAAAAAAGTGGCTGAAATTCATGACTGTTGTTGTCGCTGGATATGGTTTCCATATACAGTTGTATTATGACTGGTGGGGAAAAACAAATCAGTGATATAATGCAGGTAAAACAATAATATACAATAATAAACCCCCCATTTGGGATACCACCTAAAAAATTGTGATTTGGGGGATTATTTATTATTGTTTTAACCACATTAAGTTGACATTAAGTGATATATCATCAGCGAGTTGCACGAGTTATAGTCCCATGGCCATATCTGTTGCAGTGGGAAACCACTCAGTCACCGCCGTCCAGCTGTTGGCTGTCGCATTTCCGAGACTGCGGACGTCCAGTCACTGCCATCACGAAAAATAGCTTCGTTTAACCAAAATGCTCAAAAGCAA